GTATATATATATTAATATATATATATATATATATATATATATATTGTCCTAAACATAAAAAATTATTTAGTATTTATTAATATATTATTAGTCCATAACACTGTGATTATTAATTAGTTATATTTATTTATGATCTTTTTTTAATAGATCAGCAAAAGCTACGATGTCGAAATTGCGGAAGTTGCAACCTCCTACGCTAATAATTACGAGTAGTAAAGATAATTCTGAAAAAACTTTATTAAATGACAAGACATTATATAATGACTTTCTCAAAATAAAGATCGAGGAAGACAAAGACAGCGGTTTCTCAAGCGGTTTTGACTCTTCTGTCGATAATTCAGATGAGTCAAACAGTCTTATTAATGAGCGCGAGAAATTCGTAACAATATACAAACAAAAACTTCAGAACAAATTACCAGAGCATTTTGATCAATGGACCACTGAGAAGCAATACAAGCATTTAGTAAACAATATCAGCAAGTATTTTCCTAATATACCCAAGTCTCTGAGATACATCTTACCAGCGATTTTTGAAAATGGTGACAAGCGAAAGATGAATGCAAAGCCAGATTGGTTGGATATGGAAAAGTTTTCTCGCGGACAACGCTTTGCCCAGCGTTATTTTTCTGCGATCTCCATAAGCAGCTTATTGGGTCTGCTACAAATATTTATCTTCTCGGATGGTCTAAAACCTCTAATTCTCAGTCAGAAGTCAAACACTCCATACAGAGCTTTCAAACGATATCTTTCGACAATTAAGACCTTCAGAAACTGGTACACGAGCAATCCGTGGAGCAAAGAAACGCCGGCTTACGACGACATTCGTAGGGTGCGAAAGCTACATAGGGCCATGAGACAAAAATTATGTAAGAAAGACGACAAAGAAATCGATCGGGATAGCGAAATTCCAAACGCGTGGTGTCCTATGCTGGCAAAAATTAGAAAAGATTTCGCAAATGCATGCCCGATGGCGAAGAACCAGCAATGTCCTTACTTAATGACGAGGACAAAAGGTTTGAATCAAGGCGATATGTCGGGCACACAGTTCGCCTGCATGGGTTTGATAGTGCTATATCCAGAGCAATTTGGAATACACAATGCCAGTGATGATGATCTAGAGGCTTTCTGTCATCTCTGGCGCGGATTGGGTTACCTGCTGGGCATCGAGGATCAGTACAACTTCTGTCGCGGTAGCCTACATGACGTACGCCAGCGAATTAAAGATTTCATCGAGCACTGGATAAAACCGAATTTTCGCACGTTGACACCAGAATGGGAGCACATGACTAAATGTCTGAGTGAGGGAGTCGGTTATATCGCTTACTTAAACAACTACAAAATATTTCTACTCCAACTCTGTGACATACTTGGACTTGACATGCCGTGCTTGTACAATTCTCTTGGCCTAGCGGAAAAAACACTTTACATTCTACAAAAGTACCTGGTCCCGTATTTATTAAAACTACCTGGTATCTTCTTTATCATGAACGCAGCGTTAAACGCGCGTCTGGATCAGGCGACAAACTTCGAACCCAAGAAACATATTAATCTTAAAAACAAGTCATTTAAAAAAGTCCCAGAAATTATATATAATTATATATAAGTTTTATTTAATTAATTAAAATAGATTTTTATAATCTATTAAATTCCTATGACATTTTTTATTTTTTTACAGAACTTAATTTATATGAATTGACTCAATGAGAAATGTTTTTTGCTATAGTTAAATTACATGTTTCTTATTTATTACACATATAACAATATGAAAAAAAATATGATATAATTCAAATGAAACGAACATTCAAAAGATAAATTTATGGAGAATGGAGAAAGAATGTGAACATATTAATAAGACTATGAAAAAACAGATATGGTATTTCTCATATGATATTTCTCAAGTACTGATTTATTTTGTTAATTAAAAAAGATATATATATAATGTGAAATGTTTAATTATATAACTTCATTAATTAACATAATTTAACTTAATTATTTAATTTAATAATTGTATAATTGTATTTATTTAATTTAAAAATTGTATTTATGAAAATATAATTTATATTTTTAATAGAAATATTATTTATTATATATATGTTATATTTATTTATAGTTATGTTGTTACATTTATCAGCTCACATTATTATTTGCAAAACTTTATTTATATTTATTTGTTACAAATGTTGTGAAACATAAATTTTGTATAATAACACATTTGTTTGTATTACTTTAAAATTATACCCATGCCATAAAAACTTTTAAGAAAATTTGACTCAGAATAACGTTGCTGTTGAAAATATAAAAAAATATAAAATATTCAGTTTTACGTATTAATAATAAGTTTTTTAAATATTAATATTTCAATTCATAGGTAATAGTGTATGTAAGTCCATCATTTTTTTTTTGGCATTATAAGGATCCTACAAAGTTGTGGTAATGTTACATTCAGAATCGATTTTTTTCTTGGTATCCAAGCCCAATCGACTACGAAGCGCTTGGTAAATGCTCCTCTTCAGGACGAAAAAAATGAAAATAAATACACCTTGGAGGCAATTGAGGGTATCATTTATAAGGATTATATTGATCCAGTATTTTTTTTTAAATTTTTTAATAGAAAAAATGTCACCATTTCGCTATTCCAACATACTCCCATAACGATGAATAGCTTGATGTTCATGAGAAATCTGTTGGAAAAAAATAATAAATTTACAACTTTTTAATACAAAAATGTTTAATAAAATAGATAACATACAATTATTAAAAAATATAAATAAAAGCAGATCAAATTTGAATGAATTATGTATGATATTATTTAGAACTTTTTTGATGTAACTTGATTGTTACATCAAAGAGCTTATTTATTAAATGTTCCTCATTCTTGGAATTTTTTTAAACAAAGTTATTCTCGTTCTCGTTGAACTGGCGGAAAAGCAAAATAACTCACTTCTCCTTGTTAGAATAGAATCGTCTGAGATCCGCAGGGTCTACAGTCATTTTTTTTATTTTTGCTTTCACCTTATTGCAATAACGTGACGTAAGAATAAAGAATCTTACGTTGGATATCAGCAAAATCATTACGGGTATGACATAGAAAATTATTCCGGTTAATGATTCCTTATCCACTGTAATATTTAATTTAAAAAATTTAGAAGGAAATATTTCTTGGATATTACAAAAAACTTTTATTGTAATGTACAGAAATTATTTTCTACTAAATTTATATTATTTAATTATTACATTTAATCATTTACATTTGATTAATATCTTTTATAATAAAAAAATTTTAAGCATTTTAAGCATTTTATTAAAAAAGATTAATTAAAGAATAGCACTAAAAATGTAATTTAATAATGATGTAAGACTTTGATAACTTTCTTTTGAATCCTAACAAATGTTTATTAAAAGTTTTTGTTACAAGTTAATACTACTATTGAATTGGCGATACAAGTGATACTTATTACAAAAACTAATTATATTATAGTTTTGTTATACTTTATATATCAAACTGCATATCTGAATCTACACTACACGGAAAGAACACTTTTGCTAGTAAATCTAAAAATTTGGCTAGATATAGATCTAAAAATAATCTTGTTGGGCCTTCAAAATTATTATATACGATGTCTAAATTGATTGTTGGAAGATCAAACATTTTTGCAGTATTAATCATATTTAAGTGTTCTACATAGGCCCACAAAATTATTTTCAGATCTGTATCTGGCCAAATTTTTAGATTTACCAACAAAAGTGTTCTTTCCGTGTAGCAAATGATAAAGTTGTTTAAGAAGTCATTTAATTATCGGAATTGTGAAACTATGATATGAACGGTTAAAAGGAAACTTTACGTGAGCTTTTTCCTCGATACTCAAATATCAAATAAATTTTCTAATTGATACAATTTATTTTGTATTAACCTTCGACTTTATTTATTTTCAATATATAAATTACAGTAGCAAGGTAGCGCGAAGAAATACCTAAATTTTTTTTTATATGATTGGTAATCTTTATGAAAATTCCGTAATTAAAATTGACAAATATCGACGGTAAATCAAATATTGACGGTATATTATATCAAATAATTATTGATTGTAAATGACTTACGTGAAAACCAGCTGTAAATGCCAATCTCGGGAAATAAATAATATGGCAGGATATTCGTGAAGTCAGCTATGATAGATAGGATTGTCAACAGAAGGGGAACACCCCATGCATATAAACAGTATAACAGGAATCTTTTTCTACGCTCGTGTGCTTTAGCAACAGTATTCCCGCGTAAAGCTCTAGGAATAAAATAGATTGTGATTATCTCTTTTATTAAGAAAATGTGTAAAGCACATTCTTGAAAGCAATGTGTGTAAGTTCGAGATATATCTCCGAGAACTGTTCTAAAAATAGTGATAAAGAAATTTCTTTAGATTTATTCCACATTTTTCTTCAGATTTTCCATATTTTTCTTTCAGATATTTTTTTTCTGATATTTTGAACCACGTTAGAATGCAATAAATTTAGAGATGCGGAGAGTAATGGAAAGTAATTAATGGAAAATATTCGGTGAGATATTTTATAAAAAGTCAACAAGGCAATTAAGACAATACCAAGATAATCATCGAATAAATAAGAAAATACAATTTTCCTCAATGTCCTTTTCTTCAACAAACTTTGTTGTTATAAAATTATCAAAAAAACGTCTGCTAATTTATTCAAAAGTCATCTATAAAAGAAAGTATTATTAATTTTTTATTTTTAAATTTTACATTAACCTAATTTTTTGATTGTGCCACTCGTCCTAACCACGTGATCACATATGACTTACCCAAATGTCCACCAAATGTCGAAACACATGACATTCTGCCAGGTAAATGCCGATAGCGAAGCAAAAAGTAGAGTAAACCCTGAAAAAATAGTTACTTTTTTTGTTTTCCTAATGTCATTCCTGTATAAACATTTTCTAAGATATTTGCGTTTTATTACCTGTAACTTTCAACATTATTTTAATTTGCAAATTAATCGATTGTATCGACATATAGTTTAGGCTCAAATTGTCGATGAGTGCACAGGAGAAAGCCAGGAGGAGGCTACTTATGTGACATATGAGCGTTTTACCATGAAGATTTTTTAAACTTGGCAGACATGCGTATATCAATAGAGTCATCAGCAGGAAAATATACCTGATGATTTGCAGTGTGACGCTTACATAATGGCTGTCAAGAAAAATGTATTCTACGTTGTACTCTTCATTTAATACGTTCATTTAAATCTTATAAAATAAATTTATTTGATATTCATCAATTTTGTTGATAATTACTTTTCATTATATATTTGTACACGACTATAATGTTTAAAACTTTCGAATAAAATATCGTTTATTGCGTAATGAGCGACATGTTTTATTTTACTTTGTAAAGTTTAAACAAATTAAGCTTGCCAAATTCCATCAAATTTGATAGAATTTGCAGTAAAAGAAACAAAGTTTATGTGCAGAAATTATCTAGAATTATACGTTAATGGAAATCTAATAAAATACGTTCTCTATTCTAATTGTAAGAAAATCAACGCGAGCCTATACTTTTCTGAAATAATTCTTCTGCATATTACAAAGCATTATAGCAATACCCAATTATTATCCTCAGGACGCTGCAAACATAATTTGTGCGCAAAATTTCTTTTCTTTGATTTTAGCAAGATAATTGCCAATAAAGCTAAATAAAATAAAATAAAAGTACATATTGAATGCATTTGATACACTTTACAATCGAAGAAATGATTGATCTACCTCTTTATTAAATAATTACTCGAATAGCATGTAAACACCACAAAGTTATCAAATGTCATGTTGTAATGGAAGTCCATACAGTAATTGTCCTGATCATAGATGTTCTGACCTGTAACATCATTACCAAGAAAAGTATATCCTTTTGATGTCAGCGACCATTCTTCCTCTGAAAATACGGAAAATACGGAACCGATATCTTTGCCGTTCTTGCACGGATTTCCAATCAGGACACCGTAATCTAAATAATTAAGAAAGACTTTTAAATCAGTGTATAAAAATTTTATTAATAATTTGCATAAATTAATGAGTAATTTTAAATAAAAATTAATTTTTTTCGTAATGGTAATAAAAAAGCAGTTAAATATCATTCGAGAAACCTTTGGTTGTGTCAAAAGTGGACAATTTCGTTTGATTCACGACATTCGTGAAAGCCTGGTAAAAGTCTATCCATTCGTCGGATATGACAGTTTTATTGCATTTCCAGTCATAAAGCAATTCATTTTCTGGGCAGCATTTTCTGATGCAAGCATTTTGATCGCAAAATCCTAAATCTCTGCAAACTCGCACTGCCAATGTTCGATTAGAGATGGAATATGGCATCATCTCGAGACAAGCTATATCCTCGGTAAGCAAGAGTTTCTCTTTGATAATAGTATTGTTAAGCGCTGGAACCATCACCTATGAAGTTGTTTGTCATTTATTATTTTAATTCGCACCAACATGTTTAAAAGATTATAATTGTTTTTATATAATATGAATATTTAAAAATTTTTGATATTATTAAAACATTTTTAGAATATAAATAACAGTATAATATCTATGTTATGACATTTATCAAGAGAATCTTAGATATACATAATATATAATTTTTATAATTTTTAAAGAAATTTGATTAGTTTTCAAATATGTAAAGCAAAAAAATAATTAGTTAATTTTTTATAAATTATTCCTTAATTAGAAAACCAATCTTCTGAAATTGATTAACTCACTTTATTCGTTTCATATAAAAAAAATTTCTCTGAAATAAAGACAAACGTTTTCGTATATAAATAAGCTAACTTTCTAAAATTGATTGACTCACTTTACTCGTTTCATAAAAATTTTTTTCTGAAATGAAGATGGATATATAATATCCATCATATATAAATAAGAATATTATAATTGTCTTATAAAATTGTAGTCTTGATTTGATTGAATTTTTGATGCAAGTATTATTTTTCCTCAATTTTAAAAAATTAAATATAATTCTATACAGATTATAATAATCTTTCTTATAAAAGATATTTCAATAAAAAGCTAACTATTTTAAATTTACCACCATTTTGCACAAATGTCACTTTGACATTTAAAATTTTAAGTATATAATTTAGAGCTATGAGAAATTAGTTAAGGAACGTTATTCACATTTGACGATTGCATGTAACAACGCTACAGTAGTAAAACACATTGTAGCGTTATTATATTACATGCAAATCGTCAAATTTTATTATCAAAGTAATAATTCAATTATAATCATGAAAAATATGTGTTATTTTTAGTGAAATCATGTGCTATCAATTCAATTAATAGCCAACTGCATGCGTCATCATGTTCCACTGTGCGCATTTTTCGCAAACGACGCGGATTACTTTTTTCACCCACAGACAATAGAAGTCTGTGTCTTTATCTGAAAAAATTAATAAATTATATAATTTAGTATTTTTCTAATGTATGGTAACTTTTGTGCAGCGAATTTTGAAGAAAAATCTGCATTTGCACAATCTGCATAAAATTCAGTTGACTCAAGAATTAATGTTTAGAGATTATAGTCGCATACATTTGTCAATTAGATGCTGGAGAAAATAGTTAACCCATATTTTCTCACTAAAATCATTTTGAATGATAAAGTCCATTTCTCTTTGGGATTTAGTTCAAAGTAAAATCTACCTATGACTCTGCAACAATTCCTAAACTCAAACATAATATTCGACGCATCATTTGGTGAAATATAGTCAAATTTACAGTGCAAATGTCATAGAAGATACAGTCATATGAATGATCGTCTGCTAGAAAAATTAAGGCGCCCATTTGGACGATGTTACATTCCATAATTCCCATGTATTAGATTTACAACAAATAAAAAAAATCAGAAACACTCCCTTTATTTTATGTTTTATGCAAAAAGCAAAACAGTCAGTTTTTATTGAAACATCCTTTATATGAAAATATCTATCATTCTATCAATACAAATTAAATTAAAATTGGAACGAAAATTTTCTTAAAAAAATTGTAATATTTTTGGTTACATATAAAAATAACTGTTTTAATTTAAAACTAATATTTTTTTATATTTACGTATTCACTTATGTGATAAAATTGATTTCTTAAGGTATTCAAAATAATAATTTACAAATGAAGAAATATATAATCGTAAACAGCTTAAAAACTATTTAAAAATTCGGACCTGCCTTGATTATCATATTTGTATTGTCCCACAAAATGACATCATTTTTATCAATTTTATAATCGACGATCGGTCCTTTGCACGTGGGTGGACCTTTGGTAGTTATCATTATAGGAACTGGATCAATTTCATTTATCAAAAATGTTAAGTCCTCTGATGCGTTTAATTGGGAGACGCAAGTTTTCGTGCGGCTGTCGTATATGGTATCGTAAGGGCAACATTTTCTGAAATATATGAGTTGCGGAAAAGATGCGTTACTCGTTTTCAGCTGTGGATCTTTGATCGATCGACAATGAACGACTACTACGGTGCTTTTTCCAATTGTTTGTTCATGAAGTATATCGAAGCAAGCTGGCACCTACAAACAGTTTATCAGATTTATAGAGAAGAATTTCTTTTACGATGCTATATTTTTGAGATAGCCGATTATATCATACAATCATAATATTATTATGGTTATTATTATTCCTGTGGGAGAAATAATAAAAAACATTTTAATCGATATCAAAATGATATCGAATTATTATAGAAGTATTACGTTGGAAGATCGCAGCACATAGTGGCGCGTAGTTAGTGATACAACTGTATGAATTCATTTCATTTAGAAAATTTAGCAGCCAAGATCCTGCTTGCCAAGAAAATGGTCATGTTACATAATAATATTATTATGAAAAAATATCAACATGTAAATTTTGAAGGCTTGAATTACACATTTCTAATATTACATATCAGTTCTTCTAATTAAATATTTTTTATTTTTGAAAAATACTTTCTTGCATATAAATTTATGTCTGATTATTTAACTACTTTATTACTTTCATTTCTATCTGTATTTCATATGAAAAAAATACACCGCACCTCTGAGCAAATTAAAAGAGTAATTAATATTTAATTGATTGATTGATTGATGTTTTAATTCATATGTAATTATTCTGCTTGGACAACTATCAAACTGTCGCATAATCTTTGAACGTAACGTAATAAAAATAAAAAAGATCAAAAATCGTAACTTGCAAAATAAAATAACTAAACTGTGTCAATTTATTATATTTTTTATTATACGTTTTAACGCGAATTTTTTTGATCATATATCTTATTAAAAGTTAAAAGAAACAGAGTTTTTTTTCTATTTCTTTATTGAAGATATTTGACTTCTATTTAATTAAGCACCATACCATTACGGTTCTCCTTAAAGATTAGAGCAGAAAATTAATTCAATTGTTATTTACAATTTACCTCCAAAAACTTGTTGGAAGTGAGATTATCGAGCGATGTTATCACGAGATTCTGGGATTCGTCGCACTGAGGAATTCCTTGAAATATCGTGGTAATGTTTAAATAGTAAACGTAAAGCTCCGTCGCATTGCTTGGTACCAAAACGCACTCTACGGTGGAATTTCGTGCTAAGACTTCTCCTGGCGGACAACATTTTGCCAAATGCGATTCCGACGATACTCTCCTCAAAGATAACACCAGTCCGAACAAAAGGAGCCTTACCGTCGACATAATAAAAATATTCATGTAACATTACTTGTTTATCTAATGCAAACAATTTTTCTTAATTGTTAGTCCTCTTCTGGACATTGCTCGATGTCCAATTACTAACTTCCTAGTTATTACTTTGATTATTTTGCAATTATGTTTCAAAATCGCGCTTCGATTTTTATTTTATAGCTACATTTGTATTTTCTCATCTCATATGTATTTTATTTCAGTTTTTGTAAAAATATGGTTTTATACATCATTGATTTGTACAATTACAGCCTTGCTCTTTTTTTCTTCAAAACAAACTTTGTTTTTTGTATATTAAGATAAATAAATTATATATTTAAATCAGTTCCTTTACGTACACGCTTAAAGCCGTGCATATAAATTTTTATAATTGTACAAGTTTTATGCAAGTTTATTGCAAGTTTTATAATTAAATTAATACTCGCTTGCACACATTCTTTACTTCTCATTTCGTACTATGATTCTTCTATTTCGTGTGTTGTCTTAAACTGCTTTATGATTGTTAATTTAAATTCACATACTTAGATCTCTCAAATTAATTTAAACATTCAGACAAAATAGATTATTTATGTTGGATTATATATCTGATATCATATAATTACATAATACACATAATGATACACATAATATCGAATTATTAAATTCTAAAAATCTCTCACATTCCTAAATTTTTTATAAAAAGAAAATCGGCTTTATATATTCAAGATTTATAATTTCTTTAGATCGAATCTTTATGTTCATTCTTTATATCTTTCTTTATATTCGTTCATTTCTCAAATTTTATTTACGGACACTATAGCTAAAATTCCATGTAACGTATCACAATAAAAACGAAAATCACATTAATCAATTCGCTTATTTGCACCGAATATTCATCCTTTCTAACAATTATAAAATGACAGTATGTAGCTCGTCCTTCTTTTCTTATATATCGATCGTTTTGTTTCGTTTTCCTGAAAGTGAAATCAAATAGTTGCTCGTGCACTCTTTCATCCGCGCGATTGATTAAATTATCATATTGTCTCTGTAAGTAATTAAAGACACTTTCAACCGATCTATTTTATAGCATTGCTTTACTCATCCAGGGAAACGTCACTAATAATGCAATTATCTTTTTGCGTTTGTACGTCGAGCAACACACGTGTGGAAAATATAAACGCGCGGTTAGTACTGTGATACGCGATTCACAACGTAATCAAACTGAGAATCACTTTCATAGGAAATTAAATACATTTGTGATATGTTTTCTGTGCTTCTTCAAAACATATTTCTTATTTTTATTTGTAATATATAATACATATTTTATTTTTATTTTTTTTAGATATGAAATTGATTA